TGGCTCCCCATTTGAGTAGACAGATCCAGACACCCACACCATGGCTCCCCATTTGAGTAGACAGATCCAGACACCCACACCATGGCTCCCCATTTGAGTAGACAGATCCAGACACCCACACCATGGCTACCCATTTGAGTAGACAGATCCAGACACCCACACGTGGCTCCCCATTAGAGTAGATAGATCCAGACACCCACACCACGGCTCCCCATAAGAGTAGACAGATTCAGACACCCACACATGGCTCCCAATTAGAGTAGACAGATTCAGACACCCACACCATGCCTCCCCATTAGAGTAGACAGATCCAGACACCCACACCACGGCTCCCCATTAGAGTAGAAACATCCAGACACCCACACCACGGCTCCCCATTAGAGTAGACAATTCCAGACACACACACCACGGCTCCGCAATAGACACAGACACACACACCACGGCTCCCCATTAGAGTAGACAAATCCAGACACCCACACCACGGCTCCCCATTAGATTAGAAACATCCAGACACCCACACCACGGCTTCCCATTAGAGTAGACAATTCCAGACACCCACACCACGGCTCCCCATTAGAGTAGATAATTCCAGACACCCACACCACGGCTCCGCAATAGACACAGACACACACACCACGGCTCCCCATTAGAGTAGACACAGACACACACCATGGCTCACGACCACTGAAATCACAGGTCAATAGCTAAAAAGTTGCAAGTCCTGTGATGTCTGTGTATTTTCAGGACAAGTTAAACCCCAAATTGCAATCCGCCATTTTAATCCTTATTTAAAAGATGTGACAAGGTAACTATCAAGTAACAACCCGCGACTCTAAGTTCCCTGGCCGCGTCTGTCAGAGAGAGGGAGATCTCCCATTAAAAGATGTGACAAGGTAACTATCAAGTAACAACCCGCGACTCTAAGTTCCCTGGCCGCGCCTGCCAGAGAGAGGGAGATCTCCCATAAAAGTTGACAGGTCATGTCTGTCCGTTCCTGACTGTCACCAATTAGTCGTGACGTGGACATGTCATGTTTTCAAAGTAGGGACAGCATACGGTAGCCAATAAGTCGTGACGTGGACATGTCATGTTTTCAAAGTAGGGACAGCCTACTGTAGCCAATAAGTCGTGACGTGGACATGTCATATTTTCAAAGTAGGGACAGCCTACTGTCGCAAATAAGTCGTGACGTTGACATGTCATGTTTTTAAAGTAGGGACAGCCTACTGTAGCCAATAAGTCGTGACGTGTCGGACAGCCCAGTACATAGCGATCGTTTGGCCGTGACTGGTGGAACTGTGGCATAGATGACACTTCATACGAACAAGTGTCGTTTTGACACCATCTTTATCTAGTGTCATCCAAGTGGGAGCCCAATAAGTGTGTTGGGACATGTGAGGACTGGCCAATCAGAGTGTTGGGACATGTGAGGACTGGCC